GAATTAAATTGGCTATACCACGAAAGGACACAAGGACATGTGTAGTGTGATCGAAAGAGCGGTTAAGCGTAGTCTATAGCCGAATCCGTTACTGGTTAATCGCTATCTGCATTGACGGAGAGGCACGACGACAGCACCACAATTGCGAGTACGGCGCCAACTATAACAACAACCACAATAGCAGCAACAGCCGCAGCAGCGGTTTCAACTAAAACGCGTCGCAACAGACAATTAAAACAGAAACAACAAATAAACGGCAGTGACGGAAGTTTCGTCAGTGGTAGCAAAAGCAGCTCTAATAAACCTCATCAGCTACATTAACAGAAATCAGTACACACATCAGTGTTAACGTCAAGCAAATTGTCGACTTCTGAAATTGTTAGTAGTAGCGGAAATAAGCGTGCACATAACAAAAATCACTCCCCAGGAATTGGTCGTGGTTACCTGCATCTTTCATACAACTCGTCGTCAGCATACATTTAAATAAGAGCAGCTGCATAATGTGTGGAGTCGACAAGAGAAAATCTCTTGTCTACTTTGTGTCTGTTCATTACTGGCAACAATAACAACGGAAACAAGCTGCAGCAACAACAACGGCAACAAGTAGCAGCTATCAACACCGGCGATAAGCAGCAGCAACAACACCAAATCACAGCAACCGGCACAGCAGCCGCAGCAACTATCAGGTCGACTGTGCTGCTAATATCAGCAGTTTCAGAGCACAGTGGTGAGCTGTATCTTCTCATCTAATATTTTTGACAAATATATTTATAAATATATAAATTGTAAATACTCCTTATAGAGGTTATTTGAAGTTATATTATGTTTCGTTCTCCACCACACGACACACATACATCTACACGGACTGATAATTTAAATGACTCGCTTATCGATTTGCAAAACAGCTCTTTTCAAGAGGAAATAGCAAATCCTTATGCTAGTCAATATAATAATGAGGTATATGCAACCTCAGTGAAGCTTCCGCAATTTTGGACAAGTTATCCAGAAGCTTGGTTTGTGCATATAGAAATGCAATTTAACATGAAAAACATTACACAAGATACTACAAAATATGAACATACAATCACAGCGCTTCCGCAAGAAGTAATAGTTACAATATTAGATTTCATTCAAAATCCTCCGCATAACAACAAGTTTTCAGAATTAAAGAAAGTCTTAATTGAAAGGCATTCTTTAAGCGAAAATAAGAAATTAGATAAAATTTTGTCAGATTCAGAGATGGGTGATCGTAAACCCTCTGAATTTTATCGGTCGCTCATGTTGCTTGCAGGTTCCAATTTTAGTCAGAAACTTTGGTTGAGAAAATTGCCAAAAAATCTTAGTGTGATATTAGCTAGTTCAAGTACCAATGATATAAATGAATTGGTGAAACTAGCTGATAATATTTGGGAAGTGATTAATAAAACCGAAATATCAGCTATGAATAGTTTTCAAAATTCTAAATCACAAGACACAATTATTGAGAATTTAGTTAAAACGATGAATCTTATGTGCCAAAATTTTCAAAAACTTTCCTTTGAATTAAATTCTATTAAGCAACAAATTAATCAAAATTCTAGATATAGATCATATAATAGGAATTGTTTTAGAAGTCCATATAGAGGTAGATCAAAATCTCGTGATAGTCAAAATTGGTTATGTAGATACCATTACAAATTTGGTGATAAGGCTCAGAAATGTCAACAGCCTGGTGCTTTTTCTAAAAACAAAAATTCGTTAAACTAGAGTCATCCGTTGTTGTGGCGGCAAACAATGGAAATTTAGATATTACCACACGTCGCCTATTTATTTTTGATAAAACAAACAAACTAAATTTTTTGATTGATGGTGGAGCAGAAATTTCTATACTTCCGGTAAAAAAATTCCCTCATACAAAACGTTCTTCAGATATAATACTTACTGCAGCCAATGGTTCAACGATTTCAACGTATGGCAAAAAGATTTTAAATATAAATTTAGGTTTAAGACGCGAGTTCCCATTTACGTTTCTTATAGCTGATATTGCGAAACCTATTATTGGTGCAGATTTTCTTTGCAAATACGGTCTCTTAATTGACATGAAATGCAAACGTTTAGTTGATCCAGTAACAAGTCTTTCGGTTAACACAGTTTCATGTGTTTGTAACATTTCGCTTCCAAAAATTTTCGTAGTAGAGAACAAGTATACAAGATTGTTGAAGGAGTTTCCTTCTTTGATCGCTGAACCAGATTATTCGAAACCGGTTAAACATTCTACGGTTCACAGACTTTTTACTGAAGGAAATCTGCCATTCTCTAAGCCAAGGCGCTTAGATCCGATTAAATTTAAAGTAGCCAAAACTGAATTCGATTTTTTAGTGAGGACAGGGATTTGTAGACCTTCAAATTCTTGTGTAGCATCTCCACTGCATCTTGTACCTAAAAAAGAACTAAATGACTGGCGTCCTTGTG